TCTCTCTCTCTCTCTCTCTCTCTCTCTCTCTCTCTCTCTCTCTCTCTCTCTCTCTCTCTCTCTCTCTCTCTCTCTCTCTCTCTCTCTCCGTGCAACTTGTTTTATCTCGGTCATTATTTTTTTGGTTTGTATGTTTGGGTGCTTTTTCTGCGAGGGATGTGTATGTGTGTATGTGTGTATGTGTGTATGTGTGTATGTGTGGGTGTTGTATATGATGCGTGTGTGGGTGCGTGCTCTCCTCCAAGTCCGTCAGATTCTCAGCTCACATTTTCCTGTTTTTTTTTTATGCATATGTCTGCAGGTTCTAGTTTTCAGACTTCAGACCATCAGCCCTGACAAACTCTCGCAGCCGGAAAGTTAGGTATACGAGGTCCCGCAGGCTTTTGTGCAGAAACACTGAAGTTCGGATAGCGATCTCAAGTCTGCAAACTGCTGCCGTGCGGAGAATCGAATTTCTTTTTCCGGGCAGCTTCTTTGGTACACAGAAAATGTTTGGGTTCCCGCATAACCTGCGAACTTCAGACACCGCTTTTGTGCAGAGCATCGACGTTCAGAGGACGCTGTCGTGGAGAACGTCATTTTTTTAGTTTAGGGTTTTGGCCCTTTTGGGGCAGTGCTAGCGCATTTTGTACAGAAAATGCCCGAGTTCGCATAAATTTGCATAACGAAGCGTAACTTCATTTTAAATTCTAATATGATATGATTTCGTATGAAACGGTGTGCTGAACCCGCCAGCTTTTTTTTTTTTGTGTGTGTGTGCGCAAACCGCAAGTCGACTTCTGGCATCCTCGGTGGAGGGCCAGGCTATCACGGCGACGGCGGGTTTGCCGATACGGGCATTCAAATGCTGAAAGAGGAGGGAGAACACTGTAGCGCCGGTACACATATGCAACCGTTGATAAACAGGTCATGGGTTCAATTCCTCTTGGAATGAGATGGATACAATAATCTTACTCCCCTTTGACGGAAATGAAAAGGGAGCAATTTTCAAGCGCAGCCAAAGACATGGCTTTGAAACCTGGAGGCAACGAAGTAGTCAGTACCTGGTCGGAGCTGTCATACAGATGCAGCAGCAGCTGATGCCTGGCCTGGTCTGGCCAGAGTGGTGAGACTGAGCTGGCTCTGGCAGAGGGATTAAATGAAGTTGGATCTGCCATATAGGGGCGCGCCATGCCATGCGTCCAAAACAGCAGACCCACCCACACAGGTCAGTTCAGAGCCTGCAGTTCAGAACTGGCCTGCAAATTGGAGCCTGCGGGTCGACCGACCTGCGTACTAACCAGGCTGCTGTTTAGAAACTGTCTGCTCTTCACAGCCTGCATTTGAGCTCTAGTTCTAAGTTTGAATTTTGCTGCGCGCATTTTGGCCACAGAGAGACGTAAAATAGTGGAAAAATCATCCAGCGTGCATTTCTGACAACCAGCCTGCAGTTCTGACAACCAGCCTGCAGTTCTGAGCATGCAGCTCAGATGCAGCCTGCTGTGTGAGCATGCAGTTCAGGACTAGCGCGTGGGTCGGAACGAGCCTGTGCGTCCAAACCGGCCTGAGTTCCAAGCCTGCGGTCCTGAGTCTGCGGGCTGGGAAGCAGCTTGCAGTTTCAAAATGTGTAGTTCAGAACCAGCCTGCAGTTCCAAGCGTGCAGTTCAGGACCAGCCTTAAGTTTTGAACCAGCCTCCGGCTCATATCCTTGAGTTCCGACGCCTCAGGAACAGAACTTTGAGGGGAGAGAGGCCGCAGTTCCGAGCCTGCAGTTACAACCCTGTCATTCCCACCCTGCAGCTACCAGCCTGCGGTCCCGAGTCTGTGGTTCCACGCCTGCAGCTCCTTGGCTGCGGTTTCGAGCCTGCAGTCGCACGTCTGTGGTCCCGGCCCTGCAGTTCCAAGCCTGCAGCTCATATCCTCCAGTTCCGAGCCCTAGGAACAGAGCTTCGAGGAGAGAAGCCCGCAGTTCCAAGTGTGTAGTTCCAAGCCTGCAGTTCCAGGCATACAGTTCCAAGCCTGCAGTTTCAAGCCTGCAGTCCCAAGAAGTTCCAAGCCTGCAATCCCGACTCTGCGGCTCCAAGCCTGCAGTTCCTTGGCCTGCAGTCTGGAGTCTGCGGTCCCGAGTCTGCGGTTCCAAGCCTGCAACCATGCAGTTCCAAGCCTGAAGTCCAGAGTCTGCGGTTCCAAGCCTGCAGTTCCTTGGCTGCGGCTCCACCCCTGGAGTTCCAACCCTGCAGTTCCAATCCTGGAGTTCCACGCCAGCCGATCTGGGCCCGTAATTCTGACTGCGCACTTCCGAGCCCGCCGTGCTCAGCGTGGATCCCGCAGCCCTGTTGTTTACGGGTTGTAGTTTCAGAGTCAACAGCTCAGAGCTCAGCCTTTGTATGGCCAGGCCAAATGATGTCTGTTGTTCTGGGAAAATTATCACCCAGAAGTCCATTTTTGCATTTTTCTTGGCGATGGACCCTGATGGTCACAAAACATACAGAGGGGAGGTATCTGCATCCTAGCACTCGTCCGTGCCAAAATTCCATTTTCACGTTCTTCTTGGCACTGTTCGCCAAACGTACAGAGGAAGCGTTTCTACGGCCTGGTGCGCATTCTTCAAAGGCAAGGGAAAGCTGCCCGATCTCAGACACGTATGTGTGCAATCCACTTCCCACTTGCAAAAGTAAGTCCCACGTGCAATCCACTTGCTAGAAAAGTCGCAGCAGCACAGAGTGAAATGCCCAAGCAAGCGATTCAACTCCCAGCAGACTGCAAATTTTCTAGGGGGGGGGGGGGCGCGGGGAAAGCCTCGTGGAACGTTGAGGGCTAGAGAGTAGAATGGATAGATGATGTCCCCATTCAGTGCGTAAATGTGGAATTCTGCCATGATAGATACGTGGGTAAGAGAGATCGCACGAGGTATGTAGGTGGCTAGTGTGAGGTGGAAAACTTTTGAGAGAAGAAAAAAAAATAGCGTAGTAAATACAGCTGTCCCCCCTCTATGAGGAGAAGACGGTCTTCTTAGAAAGAAGAAGAAGAAGAAGAAGAAGAAGAAGAAGAAAATTGTCTGTCGAAGGACAGCAAGCGCAATCTCGGACTTCTTGAGAGTAAGCACGGTCGCACAGACTTGTTGAGTGTCCGTGGAGTCTTGATGAAAAAGAGCATGGTGGCCATCGTGTTCCACCGCGGGATCGAACCGAGGTAAACTCGGGGAGTTTTATCTCTGCAAGCATTAGGTGACGGGGGAAGGGGATTACTTGTTAACTTGAGGAGTTTACGGTGGTGGTGGTTAAGTGGGGGTTGTCTACACTGAGTGCGAGGGAGGGGATAGTACTTCACAAAAACACGGAAGCTTGATGAAAGCAATACCGCACATTTTAACCGCGGTAAACCATGGGAGCTTTACCTCTGCATGTGCCACCTGAGGAAAGGGATTAATTGTTAACCGAGTGTGTAGTGGCGGCGGTTAAGTGGGGGTTGCCTATACAGAGTGTGAGGGATGGGACAGTACTTAGCGAAAACACGGAAACTGGATGAAAACGATCCGTCCCCAAATGCATCCAGGGAGGAGGTGCTCCCTACCTTCTGCTGCCCCTTTCACACCTTTCTTGTTTTTTTTTGCTTTTTTTTTCTTTTTCCGCACATCTCGTAATGCCTGCAAGGGAGAGAGTGTGCCACGACAACAACAACAAAATAAAATAAAAAAGAGGACTCGATTAAAAAAAAAGGAGAAAAAAAAAAAGGAAGTTCCTGGTCGATGATTGAAGTTGGCAGATAGGATTCTAGACAGGTCATTGTGAGATAAATCATCATAAATCTGATTTTTATTTTTTTATCATTTTTAATGAATAATATTTGAATATATCATTTTTAATGAATATATCATTTTTTTGAATATTTTTTCCTCAGATCAAAGTTCAACAGTCCACAATGAACCGCTTCGATTCGCTGCACTTGGTATGTCAAGCCAAAGTCAAAGAACAGAGCTTGCCATTTTATTTTTCCACAGAAATAAACAAAAATTTTCAAAATTGGACAATAAGTTTAACACGGTCGTATCAAGGTCTGGGTAATGGTCCAGGCTTAGGTAGGGTAATAATCCAGGCTAAGGTATGTACTATGTAGTATGTACTATGTAGTATGTACTATTTTAGGAGCCATGAACTTACTGTCCAGCCTGAGGACAAGTACTGTCAGCTGTCTTTGTGAAAATTTTTATTTTCAATTTTTCACCAATTTTTAAATGTTTTTCATTTTCCCTCTCATGTCCATAGAACCTTCACCAGTGAAGGCTCCTCTCTATTCTCTCCTTTCTCCTAATTTTTTATTTTTTTTTAATCTCTGATTCGACCTTTGGATCTGGAACAGGGTCTGCTCCCTCCCTGAGTCTCTCTCTCTCTCTCTCTCTCTCTCTCTCTCTCTCTCTCTCTCTCTCTCTCTCTCTCTCTCTCTCTCTCGCGCGCGCTGCGCGACGGTTGGCGAGGGCATGTGTTTGGATCTGGAACAGGGTCTGCTCCCTCCCTGAGTCTCTCTCTCTCTCTCTCTCTCGCGCGCGCGCGCGCGTGCGCGCGCGCGCGCGTCCGCGCTGCGTGACGGTTGGTGAGGGCATGTGTTTGCACATGAACGTCAGAAAGACTCATGAACACACACTTCTTATTCGTGGTGTATTTCTTCATGTTCTTTGCTGTTTGATGGCTGTGTTTTGATCTCCAAGTACCCAACATGACCCTACAGATGCTACAAACATTTGCTTGCTGTTTGTTAGCAGTGGGCTGTAATGCACACTGCTACGGGAGCTGATGTCCGTGTTCACTGGTGATGATGGACATTCATCGAAGTGACTCCCAGACATGTTGGTAATGGGTCGTGTGAGCCTCCAGGGAATAGGTAGAGTTCTACTTGTGTTTTTTTTTTTTTTTAATTATGAAAGAAAGAACAGCTTTGTATTGCTGAAAGCTGGGAAATGGGCCCGGCGTCCCTAAGAATCGGAAGGGGGCGCAGCCGTGAGGCGTGGGCGAGGCACACCGGCCAGGGCCAACCCACGGCCACCAAACAAAACCCAAATCCAACACACCCACCCCGCATCAACGGTCTACCTTATGCTTCACGTGCCAGTGTGTTTCAATCTGAGCTGTGCATCTGGACTGCCTCGTCGGTACTGCCCTCCTGGTTGTCGGTCCGTACGCTTGCGTTTTCTGCTGCATTGGTGCCCTGCTGTTTGGCCTCCCTCCTTGCGTCCTTTTGCCTGTCATTCTGCTGTGACTGCTTCCTGACGTGTTCGACTCCTGTGTGCTGGACTTTGCACCACGCTGTTTGTCTTTTTTTTACTGTTTGAAAACTTTTTTTTTTTTTTTTTTGGGGGGGGGGACGTGGTGGGGGAGAATGCGGAATCGCTAACTTTGTATTTCAGAGAAATGGATTGAGGCCGGGGTCCTCACAATTCAACCAGGTACATCTGGATTCTGGAGCCATTACCCAGTTTCGGCTAATGCTGGAAAACGGGTCCGGTGTCCCATCCACTTCAATATCAGTGCAAAACTTCCCAAAATGTACATGAAGCTCAAGCAGTCTTAATTAAATCCTCAAGGGACTCCAACAATCTATGCGGAGCAATTGATAAGCCAGCCTAAACCAGCCCCAACTGATTATGTCACTGAAAAATTCTATTATCAAGGGAGGGCCTGTTGTTTTTCGACAAAATTCTTCGAACCCATAAACCTCCTTTAGCAGATCAAAACTTTGTCTGCAGCCAATCTGCTTATAACAGTCGTCCGGATCATTGATCACGCCGGAGTTGTCTGCATTCTTCATGATGTTCCATCTCTTCAGATATTCCCAGTGTTCACCCTGTTCTGTCCACAACGAGTCTTGCCAATCTTCCCACCAGGAGCTCCTCTCTCTCTCTCTCTCTCTCTCTCTCTCTCTCTCTCTCTCTCT